CCAGGCTTGGCACTGTATCCACCCAAGGAACTGCAGCCACCTTTCAGCTGGTTCTTCTGAAGCCAAGCTGAGAATAACTTCTGAGAATTGAATAAGAACTGAAAGCCACTGTATGTAGACGAGCAAGTGGTGGAAGGACACGTTGCAAGTGATACTTCTGGGAGGTTAGAGGTGATTAAAATAAAGTCCTTAGCATTTGGGGGAGCTGAGAAAGTGGGTAGCTTCAGTCTGGTCTAAAAAGGAGTACCTTGCATAAGCTTTTATCAAAAAGGAAAAAAAAAACCCTTCATTACGCTGGAGCATTTCATGGTCCTGAGTTTTTCAAACACAGATCTGGTTGTATTATTTTTCTTGCTTAGGGCAGCCCAGTAGTCTGTGCTCACCCCTAAAGTAGAAGCTGTAGTCTAACCCCTGCCCACCTTCCTTGCTATCTCCTGTTAGTCTCCCCTTTGTTTAATAATTTCTAGCCATACAAACATGGAATACCAGTCTCATTCCATCTTCGGGCTTTTACACTTGGTTTCCTCTTTTTGGGATCACTCTTTCCCCGTATCATCATGATACTTGTTCTTATCACCTGAGAGAGGCCTTGCCTAGTCACTCTATCTAAAGTAGGTCCCTATACCTCTGGCCTTCCTGGTTATATTGTATCCCAGAACTGGGTTCTGCTTCCAGTAGAATCTATCACTTACCACTGTGAGTTAACTTTATTTATTCATTTATTATGTCTTTGCCTAGTAGAAATAAGGTTCATGTGGACAGGGACTAATAAAACATGATTTTTCTGACATCATGGCCTGTATATCACATAGTAGATGCACTGTAAGTATGTTTGTTTCTTCATTCTTCCTTCCTTTCTTTCCTTTCCTTTTTGCTTTTGTGGCTTTCAGGATCTTAGTTCCCTGACCAGGGATTGAACCCATTCCCTGGGCGATGAAAGTGCAGAGTCCTAACCGCTGGACCTCCAGGAAATTCCCTTTGTATGTTTCTGAATATTGGAAAACTAGTCCCCAAATACACAGAAAATGTGGGGACTTCCCTGGTGGTCCACTGGTTGAAAATCCACCTTCCAATGTGGGGGATGTAGGTTCGATTCCTGGTCAGGGTACTAAGATCCCACATGCGGCAGGGCGACTAAGCCCTCACACTGCAATTAGAGAAAAGCCCAAGAGCCACAAAATTTTAAAAAAAGAAAAAAGAAAATGTGTGAAATTTAGCATCTAGATGTTGTGTCACATTGCCAAGTGATGGAGTGATGGAATTTAGTGCTTCTTTTTGTTTTTGCCCTTTTGGGGGGCAGGGGCATGCACATACAGATACACAGTATATGAGATTAATATTTATCAAGCAGTAGTTATTGAGTAACATCTGTAGTTTAAGATGAAAATTCTGGAAAAAGTCATTCCTTTTGTGAGTGACTAGTTTTTCTGAGTCTCTTAAAACAACACTTTAAGCATCATTTCTTTGATTAGTGTGATTGAACATTTCACTTTCTACTCTGCAGATATAAAGCTGCTTTAAATTTTATGAAGTTTAACTGTTTTACATTGGGAAACAGTAAATTGAATTTTGAAACGAGGTCGTTCCCAATCTCACTATCATGGTTTTGAGTTATCAAAGTTTTAACTTCTGTTTTTATGACAAATAATTACAGTATTCTTTTAGAAATAGCCCCTGAACAAAGTAGTGTCCAAATTTTTACTTTTTTTTTATTGGTCGTTCATTCATTCAGGCACTATATTGTCATGTACATCATCCAAGACTTCCAATGTATTATACAGCCTTAGGAGATTCCTTAAAGTGAACTATCAGGCCTTAATACAACTGCTGTCTACAAGTGTGGTTCCTCAAATTAGCAGAATTAGCATCACCTGGGAATTTGTTAGGAATCCAAATTCCCAGGCCCCCTTTAGATTGATTCCCTCAGAAACTGTGGGAATGGAGTTGGGCAGTTTGTGTTTTAGCAAGCCCTCCAGATGATTCTGATACACACTAGTTTGAGAACTGTGGCTTCAGTTCAGTTCAGTCGCTCAGTTGTGTCCAACTCTTTGCGACTCCATGAATTGCAGCACGCCAGGCCTCCCTGTCCATCACCAACTCCCGGAGTTCACCCAAACCCATGTCCATCGAGTCGGTGATGCCATCCAGCCATCTCATCCTCTGTTGTCCCCTTCTCCTCCTGCCCCCAATCCCTCCCAGCATCAGGGTCTTTTCCAATGAGTCAACTCTTCGCATGAGGTGGCCAAAGTATTGGAGTTTCAGCTTCAGCATCAGTCCTTCCAATGAACACCCAGAACTGTGGCTTACTAAATGTTAAAAGTTCAAGGTAGCATGATCCTGCAGATCAGTCACATAGCATTAATTATTAGCCTTGTACATAGCATTAATTATTAGCCTTGTAAGCCCACCTCCTTTTTGTCACTGAATTTGATTGGTTCACTGAGACTAGGCTGTAAAGTTATTTTCTATATTGATTGCCACATATTGACTTTAGGTTGTTTATATTTCTCTGAACCTGTCAGTGTAATGATTTGCCAGGACACTTAATAGGAACAGACTTGATTTTTTTTTTTTCTTTTTTCCTTTGCATCCATGGCTTTCTGAGTCACAGGTGGCTGGCTTCTTATATCCTTCTGGATAAAGCTCTCTAGGCACCAGGCATGGCACTCATGTTCTGTTAATGAGGGAGCTGTCATCCATCCCCTGTTGGATCACAGGGGACCCTGCAGGAGTATTTAATTCACCCCCATTTGGTTTACAGGTTGGGAGATTGATCCCCCACGAGGTTCTGCTTTTCTTGCAGGGGTGTAGCTCATTTGTGGTGAGCACAGGATTTCAGGACTTCTGACTCCCTCTACTGCACCAGGATTCCTGCAGGGGGAGGACGGAGCTGTGGCTTTCTGTGTGCCTGCAGGACATTCCTTTCCTACTGAGAGGATTTTTTTTTTTTTTTTAAAGAAAAAAGCAAATAGGAAAAAAAAAGTCAGGAAGTTCTCATTGAAACTAATAAAAGTGTCTAAAGAGAATAAAAAAATCAGTTTGAGAACTTTGGTATGGAGGAAATAACCTGACATTAACTGTTTTAATTATAGTTGTTGCATTGGGCTTATCAGTGTGGGAAGAGGGAGCATTTGAGCCCTACAGGGAAGTGGGATATGGACAGCAAGATGACCCTGTTCCTGCATATGCCTGTTCAGATTACAACCTAGAGACTGCTTGTGTGATCCCAACAGCTGTCATGGAGATGGGGCTGGAGTCGGTAAAGCCCTGTATTGTCATAGCTAGTGCTAGGGTAGAATGCCCAATGAGGTGGTCTCTTAATCTCCTTGGCCTTCACTTTCCAATATATGGGTATAATAATACCTATTCTGCCAAGTTTGGGAAGAAAAGTGTCATAGTGGGGAGCAGCATATTACTGTGTTCAGAGGACAGACACTCTCATGAGATCCAGTCTCCCTAGGTTCAAATCCTGGCTCTTTAACTGACGATTGTGACAATAGGTAGGTCACTTATGCTTTCTGTGGAAATGAGTTTAATGAAATTAACTACTTCATTAGGGTTGTGGGGAAGATTTAATTAGTCTATATAAGTGCTTTAGAACAATATTGCTGTGTGTTAACTATTGTTACTAGTTTTAAAAAATATTATTACCTTAAGAGATGAGATTTTTATAAACTTTCACCAGTTGCTAACAGTAGTGGACAAGCAAAGGGTTCTCATGCAGTAACTGTTAGTAGAGGAGTTGTTCTAATATCTAGCTTGTGCATGGGCCCTGCTGTGAGAAGAAGCTAGTATGCCCCAGAAGGGCAGACCTGGAGCCTCTAATGTTGTAATTTATTCATAGAGTGATATGCACACTCTATTCATAGAGTGATAAGCACAGAGGAAACTCAAAACCAGGGCCTTCTCGATTTTGCTTTCAGGTTTTTGTTTTGTTTTTTTGTTTTTTTCTTTCAGGTATTTTTATATGAACCATCCTAGGAGATGAATATCTTCATAATCTTCTAGAAAATGTTTCATGGACTTTGATTTTGGCTTTTATTGTTTGACAAGGTTTCTTTCTGTCTTCCCTTTCTAATTGTTACTAGGATTCTTGATAAGCATTTTGGTGATGAAAATTCTAACTCTAAAAGCTAAACGATCAGGGTATTGTAACTATCCAGCAAACAAGTGGCAGCCTTTGGGTAGACTTCCTCCTCTTTCGGCTGAACTCAATGAAAGTTTCTGCTATTGCTGTTTATTTCTGAGCAGTCTCTTTTGGGAGGGAATTAGGATGGTGAAGTGCCTTTTTACTACGGGAATGAGGATTCAAGAGTTTGAGAATTATTATTTTATTTATATATATATAAAATTAACTTTTCATTTTCTTTACTTTGATATCCCCCCTCTTCTACAAGCCCTATTCATGGTCTACTCCCCATCTTTGTTTGAGCCCCTTGGAGTTAGTTAGAGATTGTGTTTTATTTATTTCTCTGTTTTTTATTTCTGCCTTTTCTTCTGGATCCTAATACAGCATCTAGTATACATTAGGCTCTCAAATATAGTTTATTGAATGAATATTATTGATGTTTCTGATTACTTCTTGAAGTGGCCTGTTTTGAAACTTCACGTGAAGGCTTAAGTAATTCGTTGATATCATGGTGACCTAGTATCTACAGTCTTCCTGAATATTTATTGATGAATCCTTACATTGCTTATCTGAAGTGTCCAAATCCCAAGATGCTTGTGGAATATCATGGATTGGGTAGTATAACTTTAATTTTCATAGTGTCATTGGGAAAGGGATGTAGCAGCCTAGAGAGAGAGAAGCACAGAGAATTAAGAATGCCATTCAAGACCACAGAGCAGTTACTATGGGAAGAGACTCTTGGGATGAGCTTTTCTACTTTATGACCCCAGAAGCCAAAAGATAAAAAGATGATCTGAATTTGATGTTTCTTTAATGTCTAAGGGTTATGATTAGTGACTTATTTCTAATGTGCATTTGTTTTTATTTTTAGCATTGCAATGTCGGGATGGCTATGAGCCCTGTGTAAATGAAGGAATATGTGTTACCTACCACAATGGTACAGGATACTGCAAGTAAGTTTTTCTCTCTCTTTTTTTTTTTTTCATGTATCTTATTTTTCCTCAGTAGGAAATTGGGCAAAATTTGGCTCTATTATCCTATACTTAATACCTCTGTGAAATGTTACTGGTTCACTAACTTTTCTGATATAATTTTCTGGAAGATGAGGATTTGGATGTCAGATAAATGGTTAATAAGAACTTACTGTCTTACCCTTATCTTACTGTCTTACCCATCATGATAAAGACTTTCAGTGCATAGCTTGTGTGTGTGTGTGTGTGTGTGTGTGTGTGTGTCTGCCTGTGTGCTTAGTCACTTAGTCATGTCTGACTCTTTGTGACCCTTTGGACTGTAGCCCACCAAGCCCCTCTGTCCATGGGATTTTCCAGGCAAGAGTACTGGAGTGGGTTGCCATTTCCTCCTCCAGGGGATCTTCCTGACCCAAGGATCAAACCCATGTCTCCTGTGTCTCTTGCATTGCAAGCAGATTCTTTACCCACTGAACCATCAGGGAAGCCCAGAGAGTATATTCTTTAACATTTTTCAGTTTAATTGTTAAGTTAAGAAATCTTTCAGTTAAGAAAATTTCAGTTTTCAGATTAGAATCTATTCTCAATGTATTAGCTCTGATCTTGTTTTTAAGTCATACCAAATGCATGTTAACTTTAATTCTGCCTACCATAGGTAAATATTATAGCCATGTAACACTTTTTTTTTCCTAATGTAAAATATCCAATTCTGGAGGAGAGTCTGTGAGAGAAGAAAATGCACACTTGCCTGTAGGGATGGAGTAGGGAGCAGGGGCTGTGGGTGAAGGTCATTATATGGATTTAAAAGAATAAGGGTTAGGGTTAGGAAATGGCAGCCCACTCCAGTATTTCTTGCCTGGAAAATTCCATGGACAGAAGAGCCTGGTGGCTGCAGTTCATGGGGTTGCAGAGAATCGGACTTAGCTGAGCATGCACACACTAGCCACGCTAGAGAAGAATTAGGATGAGGAATAGGACTAGGGAGTATAGGCTAGTTCTCAGGAGTGTTTCTTTTCTTCCTGTCTGATCATGAAGTGTAGCCATACTTTTTGTTTGAGGAAGGCCTGTAAGGTAATCTTTTAAATTGCTTCTCTAGGTTTCCTATGGATAATTTCCCCCGCTTCTACCTCAATTGAAAATTTTTGATAGGAACATGTATCCATTCTATTTCTTTAATAGAAAATAAGATTTGGTAATATGACATTTATCTTCTCTAATACTTCTTTTGGAGTGTGTTTGTTCTTTGCTTTGGTAGAAGTATGTGCTTGATAAGCATTTTAAGTGAGTTTATCCAACATAGTTTTGTTCCTTTTCTGGATATTTAGCTGAATAACTTAACTGTAATAATTACATTTGTTCCAATCAAGTCTATTCTGACACTGGGATTTAAGTTCTTTAATGTTATGAACAAGAATTTTTCCAAGTCAGAAAAAATTTTCTTCACCAAAGTGAAAATATTTTAAGCTGTGATGACAGTAAAGCTTAACAATAGGTTATTTGGATTGGAATAAAAATAACATTGGAAATGAAATTTTTTATGTAGCTGATTATAGGCCGTTCACTTAGTTTTTCTAGCTGGGGAAAAAAATCCAACCAAAAACTTGTGATGTAGTCTCCTCTAAGAATGGAAGCACAACTGGAGATAATAGGGAAAGGAACTTAATACGTTAGAATTGACCACTGCAATCTTGTTTAGTCTCTTTTTGGCATCTGGTGTCTTGGTTACTTGCTTCATTCTATTATTTAGCTATCTCATGGTAGTTAACCCATTATATTATGATCATTTGTTGATAATGTTTCTCCCACTAGAGTATGAGAGGTCCTGGTCTTGTGCATTTTCAGTCTGGTATATAGCTAGTGCTTAACAATATGTTTCTTGAACCAAAAGATGCTCAATAGGTATCATCATTCACTTGTTTATTTATTTATTTAATTGAAGGATAATTGCTTTACAGAATTTTGTTGCTTTCTGTCAAACCTCGACATGAATCAGCCATAGTTATACATATGTCACCTCCCTTTTGAACCTCCCTCCCATCTCCCGCCCCATCCCACCCCTCTAGATTGATACAGAACCCCTGTTTGAGTTTTCTGAGCCATACGGCAAATTCCCATTGGCTATCTATTTTATATGTAATATAAGTTTCCATGGTACTCTTCCCATACATCTCACATGTTTTTAAATCTATTTGTCTTAAATAAGTAGAGACTGGGCCTTTCCTCTGAGAATTTTGTTTGCTTCATGTAGTATTCAGGATGTCGGTATCATGCTGCTGCTGCTAAGTCACTTCAGTCATGTCCGACTCTGTGTGACCCCATAGATGGCAGCCCACCAGGCTCCCCCATCCCTGGGATTCTCCAGGCAAGAGTACTGGAGTGGGCTGCCATTGCTTTCTGCGGTTGGTATCATACAGAGAGGCAATTTAGTTCTAAATTATTTAGAGATAATTCAACTTGGTGACTTATGTAGGGAGAATTTCAAATACATTCCAAATGTTAGCCTACATATTTGTGGTCTGACATGGGGAGAGAAAATTCTAGAGGAGACTAAACTCTGAGCACATACCAGGAATGGACACTAAGGGTCATTTTAGGAGAGAAAAACAGATCTGTGAGTCTCAGGCTCTCCAACCAAGGTGAGAGAGACAAAGTTAACCCCAATTTTCAGAAGAAGCATTGCTAGGAAACAGGGGACTCACTTTGTGATTGACAAAAATGGAGCTGCCAGAATTCTGTTGCTGAATATGTGTTAATTATTGATAGGGTGGATTGCTTATGGGTATAGTTCTAGATATAGTCCTAGATGTCCCTCAGATGACTTCCAACCCTGTTGTGAGGGAAACAACCTTCTGAAAAGCAAGAGTAAGGGGAAAAATGGGCATGGCCACCTTCTGGGGAGACCAACATGGATAACAAAGCTTGTAAAAAAGTGGTTGTTTCTCTACTTCAGTGAAAGTAATATTAGCATCTTCAGGAGTAGAAGAATCAACATAAGTGGACACAGGAAAAGCAAGAACAATATCAGGGATGCCAGGTCACTCGTCCTACAGTGGCACGCCAGCCAACATCCACAGCATGTTAAGCAAAATTTAAGTAAAAATAACATTGACTTAGCAGACCTTTCAGTATATCTTCACCACCTTTAATTTTTTTTCCCTAGGGAAAGAAGTTACTCCAGCTTGCTCAGTAAATATTATTTTCGCAAAATGGTATATGATTATTAGAACACTTAGAAGATTTATAAAAATCACATCAGATATACAGGACTTAATGACTGTCTTTTTATTCATGAGATTGCTTAGTGGATTAAGGAAAGAGAGCTGAGGCCAAATTTCTTTTACTGGGGTGAGTGGGTGGGAGTTAATGGAAAATGTTTTAAAGTAGAAGGCAACTGACTGTCTCTTTAAAGAGCATAATGTTATTGACTTAGCTAAATTATAATGGTTGTTTATGGAAATTATAGAAATCCTTGATAAGATCACATTGACAGATGAGGACAAGTACTTTTAAAGGTTAGTTTTGTACACAGCTCAACTGTTTTTTTCTAACTGTTAAGTATTCTATCAGTCTGTGATTAGATTGGGAGCCAGACAAGAAGAACCTGTGTAATCTTGCATAAAACTCAATTATTGCTCCTAAATAGTTGTTGTCAGCTCTTAATAAAGCCCTCTCACTACACAGAGGTAAGACATTTCATTCTCTCCCTTGTCCTACTGGGAGGTGTAAATATGTAATTAAGTTTGGCTGTCATTAATCACTTTCAAGTTGTTTTCTCAGGCTTTCAAATAAAACCATTCCAAATCCCTCTTTGATTAAAACTCGTGGGCAACTCAAGTTCACTAGAGTGTTGGGAGTGGGTGAGGTTACAATTTGCAAAATTCACAAAATGTATATTTTTAAGGACACATTTATCATAGTTATTTAAAGTCCTTGCCTGCCAGTTTTTAACATATGGGTTGTCTTTGGGTGTGTTTCCATCAACAGCCCTTTCAGTTTCCCTTTACTTCATGTTTATGGTAGTTTTTATTGTTTCCTGGATATTATAAGTGATGCGTTTTAAAATTTACTCTTCTACTATAGAATGTTACTGGAAGATCAGCTTGATGCTATGGAGGCTTGTATTTCAGTTCTGGTGTGGAGGGTCTGTTTCACTCTTAGTCTGATGGTGTATTTTAGGCAAGACTTGGAGTCTGGATACACTCCTTATTCCCAAGGTATGACCCTTCAGTGAATTCAGTGGAAAGTATGAGGTGTTTACCACATACTGGGGTGTATCTCAAGCCCCTCTAATTTGGTAGGACTTGAATTCAAACCTCTGACTCCCCAGAACCATGCTCAGCTTTTCAGCCTTCCAGCTCTTGCTTTCTGTTGTGTTCCTCATATCATCTTGTTGTGGAGTTACATGACATGTTTTGTAACATGTCTGGTTACAAAACTGGTTCTGTCTGGTCCAGGATTTCTCTTCCTCAGTTTTCAGAAGAATTTTGACAGTTCCAGATACCTTTGACTCCTTGGCTGTTATAGGACCTCCATTCACTTATGCTTCATGAGCTGGAGAATACCTTCAGGGAAAAAGGTATATAAGTGTAGGTTTCCTATATGTAGCTTGTTTTTTCCTTTGAGGTTCATATCCCTTCTAGTTTCTGCCTGCTTTGATTGCTCTCTGGTACCTTTTAATATTTTGCCTGAAGTTTATAATTATTATAAATGAGAGAGTTGATCTAAGTTACTCTGCCATTACTTTATTGGAAGGACTGATGCTGAAGCTGAAGCTTCAATACTTTGGCCACCTGATGTGAAGGACTTAATCATTGGAAAAGACCCTGATGCTGGGAAAGATTGAAGGCAAAAGGAGGAGGGGACAGCAGAGGATGAGATGTTCACATAGCATTACCGACTCAACTGGCATGAAGCTGAGCAAACTCTGGGAGATAATGAAGGACAGGGGACCCTGGCTTGCTGGAGTCCATGGGGTTGCAAAATGT